ATGAAATGGTCAGAGCAGCGCTCCCCCCCAGATTCAAGCGAGCATTTTGAAATCAGTGCGCCGTGGGCGGCAGCAGGCGAGTACGTGGCTGCCAGCAGCAGCAGCAGCAGCAGCAGCAGCAGCAGCTGCAGCAGCAGCAGCAGCAGCAGCAGCTGCAGCAGCAGCAGCAGCGCAGCAGCAGCACGGCGCAGGTCGATCGGCTCTGGGGCCCTCAAGCCCGCCAGCTGCGCAGCAAGAGCGCCGCAGGAGAGAAGCATCGCCGCAGCAGCAGCAGTCACAAGGCCTTGACCTTGCCCCTGCCGCTGCTGCTGCTGCTGCTGCTGCTGCTGCTGCTGCTGCTGCTGCTGCGGCCGTAGGTCTTCTTGCTGAAGTTGTGGAAGAGCAGAAAAAGGCTCAAAACGTAGAAGAAATACCCCACTGTCACTCGAAAAGGATATTTGCAAGACTTGTGGAAATAAACATGATAAGCTGCATGCAAACTCATCGACAAGAACTGCAGCATTTGCAACTTCGTCACAAACTGCTTCACCACGCGCGCCACGCCGCAGTTCAGACTCGCCAGCAGGTAGTACGCGTACATCACCACGTGCACCAGCCCGCTGCAGCAGCAGCAGCAGCAGCAGCAGCAGCAGCAGCAGCAGATCGGGTCCTGCTGCTGCAGCAGCGGCAGATCGGGTCCTGCTGCAGCAGCAGCAGCAGCAGCAGATCGGGTCCTGCTGCGGCAGCAGCAGTGGCGAAGAGCGGGATGCCGCAGCAGCAGCTGGGCCTGCCACTCCGCCAGCAGCAGCAGCAGCAGCAGCAGCAGCAGCAGCAGATCGGGTCCTGCTGCGGCAGCAGCAGCGGTGAAACGCGGCCTGCCGCAGCAGCAGCTGGGCCTGCCACTCCTCCAGCAGCAGCAGCAACAGCAGCAACAGCAAAAACAACAGCAGCAGCAACAGCAAAAACAACAACACAAGCAACAACAGCAACAAAACAACAACAACGGCAGCAACAACAACAGCAAAAACAACAACAACAGCAGCAACAACAACAGCAAAAACAACAACAGCAACAACAGCAACAACAACAGCAACAGCGACAGCACAGCAGCAGCAGCAGCAGCAGCAGCAGCAGCAGCAGCAGCAGTACTTGAGTGCGACGACGTAGTAGATCTCGCCGTCGAAGCCGACGCTGGCGTTGACCCAGGAAATGTAAATGACAGAACTGTGGTGGTAAACATGAAGAAAAGAAACTTGCCGCCAGTTGCCCCGCACTATCATGAAGACAGTGTCCAGCAGGTCGAGGTACTTTAGCCTGACAAGCAAACCCTAAACCCTAAACCCTAAGCCCTCCTGAACCCTCCCAAGCCCTCCTAAACCCTCCCAAACCCTCGGGGGCCCTTCGGGGCCTTTTTGGGGCCCTCTGGGGCTTCCCAGGGCCTTCGGGGGCCTCGGGAACGGGCAGCTAGGGTTTAGGGTTTAGGGTTTAGGGTTTAGGGTTTGGGTTCACATGTAGAAGAACCAGGTGACCTCGGCCATGCGGGTGTTGGGGACGTTGAAGCGGTTGCAAACAAAAGAATAGTTTTCAGTTTGCCAAACGTCGAAGACGCGGACGACGAGAAAGCTGCAGAGCAGCACCTGTACGTACACCCCAGCAGCAGCACCGTCGGGGTGTCTGTGGACCTTTGGGGTGTCTGTGCACCTTTGGGGTGTCTGTGCACCTTTGGGGTGTCTGTACACCTCAAACTCCGCATTTTCGCGCGGAATTCCCTTTTTGTTTTCAAGTCGGCCCCGCGGCGGCGCCGCGGAGAAAGCGGCTGAGAGGCGGCGGGGGGCGGCGGGAGGCGTCGGGCGCGCGGTGTACGTACACCGGAGGCGGCGGGGGAAGGTTTCGCGCGGAAAGCGGCGGAAACTCGGAAAGTGGGCCGGCTAGAAAAGTGGGGAATGCAAAATGAAAGGCATTTGCGAAAAAAAGAAGAGAAAAGGAGGCGGATCGGCGGCGGATCGGGCGGAGTTCAAGTTTTACCTGGGCTGCGTTGTAGACGGCCTGGCAGACGAAGACGGGCCCGATCTTCTCCAACAAACTCTTTTCTTTTCTTTGAGAGACTGAATGCGACGCAGAGCCCCTAAAGGCGAGCAAACTGAGGCCCACGAGCAGCAAATAAAGGCCCGTGACCAGCGCCATGTCCTTGCCGTCCATCATGGGCAGCCCGCTGTTCTGCCGCGCGGCCGGCGGCAGCTCCGGCGCGTAAAAAGCCAACACTGCTTCTGCTGCTGCGTCGACTTTGCGAAAAAAAGAAACTGAAGAGCTGCTGCTGTGCACCAGCGCGCTCTTCAGCGGCCCCAGCGCTGCAGCAGCAGACTGCAGCCAGGGGGCCTCGGGGGCCAGCAGCCGCGCCCACGCGTCGGTACTCGCCATCGTGCCGCTCGCAGCAGCAGCGGCGCGCCAGCAGCAGCGCAGCAGCAGCAGCAGCAGCAGCAGCGGCGGCGCCAGCAGCAGCGGCAGCGGGCGAGCGCCTGCAGCAGCAGCAGCAGCAGCAGCAGCAGCGGCAGCGGCAGCGGCAGCGGCAGCAGCAGCGAGCGAGCGCTCGGAGACCCGGACGGAACGCAGCAAACACCGCCAAATCAGTTCAGCCTCCCCTCCTGCTGCTGCTGCTGCTGCTGCTGCTGCTGCTGCTGCTCGCGGGGCCGCGCGACAGAGGCAAAAAGGAAAGGGAAAATGCAACTCCAGCTAATTCTAAATCTTAGCAGCACACCGGCCGACAAACGGACAAGACAAGACGGGTACCCGCCCGTGGCTGCGCGCTTGCTGCTGCTGCTGCTGCTGCTGCTACACAGCTGCTGCTGCTGCTTCCAACAGCCAGTTTGCTGCTGCTCGCGCCTATACAGCTTAAAAACAGGCCCCAACGACCCTTAACGCCGCCAGCAAATGTTAAAGAAAAAACTACGAAAGTCCAGCAAGCAGTCACACAACAAAGAGCAGCAGCAGCAGCAGCAGCAGCAGCAGCAGCAACACAACCACTCATGCAGCAGCAGCGCACCAGGCAGCAGCGTCGGCGGCTGCTGCTGCTGCTGCGGCTCCACCTGCCAGCAGCAGCAGCAGGCTCCGCCCCTCTTCTTCCTTCTATCCAGATCTTTTGTTTTTTAATTATATTCTTTAATTTTTAATTCGCTTTTGTCTTTCGAAGCTGCAGCAGCAAACGCAGCAGCCGCGCAGAGCCCGCGCTGCTGCGGCTGCTCCCCCCGCTCCAAAGCCTACGAGACACGCCCAGCTTCCTCTTTTTTCCTATTTTTAATTCAAATTTATTTATTTTTTCTTTTATTTCTTCTTTTTATTTCCCTTTCGCGCCTCCGAAACCCCCCAGCCGCCGCCCCCTCCGCCGACGACCTGCTGCACGTTCAACTTCCCCAAATTCGCAAATCTCCACTAATCTTCTCCATTTCGAATATTTCAAAAACACTTTTCAATTCCTTTTCTTTTATTTCCACTTTTTTTAAACTTTTAACTTTTTCTAAACACCACCGAAGCCTAACCCCACCCCAGCCAACGTGCAGCCCTGCAGCGCAGCACAGAGCGTCGTGCTGCAGCAGCAGCAGCAGCAGCAGCAGCAGCAGCAGCAGCAACTAAAGTGGCTGCAAACCTCCAATGTCCTTTATGATTTTCATTGCAGTTAAAAAAACTAATTCAAAACTTTAAGCAAAATTGAATTTCTGGCCGCTGCAGCCACGCAGACGCAACAGCCCCACCAACACGGCAGCAGCAGCAGCTGCTGCAGCAACAGCTGCAGCAGCAGCTGCAACAGCAGCCGCAGCAGCAGTTAAATCTGCAGCAGCTGCTTCTGTAGAGGCATGGGCAAGGCCCCAACAGCCTACTCTTTGCTGCCCAGCTGCTGCTGCTGCTGCTGCAGCTGCTGCAGCAGCAGCAACAGCTGCTGCTGCTGCTGCTGCAAGCCCCCCCGCCAGGCCCGCTGGAGAGTCCCTGCAGCACTTTTGCTGCTTTTGCAACTTTCTTGAATTCAGCAAAAAGCCACTTGAAGTAAAAGTGCTTCCGGCACGCAAACCCTAAACCCTAAACCCTAAACCCTCGGGGATTTAGGGAGTTAAGATGATGTACAGTTTTGGCCCTTAGGCTGTCTGAACACCCTAAACGCGCTCCAGAACTGCCTAGGGTTTAGTGCTTAGGGTTTAGGGTTTAGGGTTTAGGGTTTGCTGGGGGTTTCGAAAACCCTCAAATGGACTTTTGCTGCGAACTGCTGCTGCAGTTCTGTAAAGGAGAAAAAGAAATAAAGCAGCCTTCAGGTGTACATACACCCCAGATAACTAACAAAGTGCCCTGCTGCTGCAGCTGCGGCGACAAGTTGCTGCTGCTGCTGCGGCTGCTGCAGCAGCAGCACGGCGCGCTGCTGCAGCACGGGCTTGCTGCTGCAGCTGCTGCGCTGCTGCGGCAGCAGCAGACGCGGCGCCGCGTTGCTGCTGCTGCCCATTCTTCCGCTGCAGCGCCCACTGCAGCAGCAGCAGCAGCAGCAGCAGCAGTAGCAGCAGCAGCAGCAGCAGCAGCAGCAGCAGTAGCAGCAGCAGCAGCAGCAGCAGCAGCAGCAAAGACCACCCTGTGGGTTCCTTCTCTTTGCACTCGCCGCAGAGTCAGGAAGCAGCAGCTCCACTTTGCTGCTGCAGCAGCTGCGAGCAGCAAAAGACATTTTTAGGAAGCAAAAAAGAATTCTGAAAATGCATTAAAAGATATTCAATGCAGCAAAAAAGAAATCCAAAAGTGCTGCAGCAAATTAACAAACGGACTAATGCAGCAGCAGCAGCAACGAAAACAGTAGCAGCAACTGCAGCAGCAGCAGCAACAACAAAGACAGCAGCAGCAGCGACAACAAAGACAGCAGCAGCAGCAGCGAAAACAGCATCAGCAGCAGCATTAAAAGCAGCAGCAAAACGGCAGCCGCCGCCGCCGCAGCAGCAGCAGCAGCAGCAGCAGCAGCCGCAGCAGCAGCAGCAGCAGGTGTACGTACACGAGTTTCAGGGCTGTTCTGCGATTTTTGCGCTTTTTCGAATGGCATCAATGGCGTTGTTTTTATCTTGTTGAGAAGCAAAGAAGTGGTTTGCTGCTGCTGCGCTGCTGCTGCTGCTGCGCTGCTGCTGCTGCTGCTGCTGCTGCTGCTGCTGCAGCTCGTCGAGCTCCTCGAAAGCCTCCACGCCTGCTGCGTTGAAGCTGAAGCGAAACTTTGCTGCCAACGGAGACACCAAGTGGACATCAGGGTCTCCGAAATAACTTCTGAAATAACTTCTTGAAGAGTAAAACACAAAAGGTTCGCGGCTCACGGCCAAGGTCATCCGCAGCAGCCCCCGCAGCTGCAGCAGCAGCAGCAGCAGCAGCAGCAGCAGCAGCAGACGCGGGAAAAAACGGGGCGGTGGGGACGCAGCAGCAGCGGGAACAGCAGCACCAGCAAGGGCAGAAGCAGCAGCGGCAGAAACACAAACGATGGAGCAGCAGCAGCAATTGCAGCAGCAGCAGCAGTTGCAGCAGCAGCAGCAGCAGTTGCAGCAGCAGCAGCAGCAGCAGCAGCGCAAAGTTGCATCAAGATTGCGCCAATTCACATGAAAGGCAGCAACTCACAAAACGAGGCAGCAAAAGCCCAAACTAAAGTTCATTTAAAATATTAAAAATATAATTATTTAAAAATAAATAAAATAAATAAAAGAAAATTATATGCATTGCACCCCAATGTAGTCAACTGCAGCAGCAGCAGCAGCAGCAAAGTCAACCCCTAGCAGCAGCAGCAACGAAGCCACTCCCCAGCAGCAGCAGCAGCAGCAGCAGCAAGGCACTCCCTAGCAGCAGCAGCAAAGCCACTCCTTAGCAGCAGCAGCAAAGCCACTCCTTAGCAGCAGCAGCAGCGGCAGCAGCATCAAAAGCACCATCAGCAGCACCATCAGAATCAGCAGCAGCAGCAGCAGCAGCAGCAGCAGCAGCAGCACAATCATCACCCCAATCACCACCATTCCCATCACCACAACGACGAACAAAATCCTCCCAATAAGCAGCAGCAGCACTGCAGCAGCAGCAGCAGCACTGCAGCAGCAGCAGCAGCACTGCAGCAGCACCATTGCATCAGCACCACTGCAGCAGCACCACTGCAGCAGCAGCGCCACTGCATCACCATCACCACCATCGCCATCATCATTATCATCATCATCATCAGCAGCAGCAGCAGCAGCAGCAGCAGCAGCACTGCAGCAGCAGCACTGCAGCAGCAGCACTGCAGCAGCAGCACCATTGCATCACCATCACCACCATCCTCATCACCATCATCACTACCATCATCATCATCAGCAGCATCATCATCAGCAGCATCATCAGCAGCAGCAGCAGCACTGCAGCAGCACTGCAGCAGCACAGCAGCAGCAGCAGCAGCAGCAGCAGCAGCACTGCAGCAGCAGCAGCAGCAGCAGCAGCAGCAGCAGCAGACCTGGTCGTCGATGAGTTTCCAAGTGAACTTCTGAGTGGCTGCGGCCCAAAAGGGCAGCCAAGAGCGGTGGCCAGTTTCCCAGTAGATGGCGCTGTACTGGGGGCCGTGTTCGAGGCTGACGGCTCTGAGAGAGTGGGGGGAAACTTCGGAAAAAGTCAGCTTTGCGGGGGCAAAGAGCACCATTTCCAGCGCCAAAACGAGGGTTTAGGGTTTAGGGTTTAGGGTTTAGGGTTTGGGGTTTAGGGTTTGGGGTTTGGCGCGCGCAAACGCGCGCTTTCCGCGAAAAAAACGCGCCCAAAGCTCCAAACGCAGACGCCAAGCCGCCCCGCGCTCCCCGGCCGGCAAAGCGCTCCCAAAAACGGGGAAAGCCTCGCAAAAAGGAAATATTTGAATTAAATAAATTAAATAAAAGAAAATTCGAAAAAATTGGAGTCCAACTGGAGGATCGGGGGGAGAAGAAGTGCGCAGCTGGCAGTCGGCGGCTGCGCGCGGCGCTCTGCGCGGACTCCGGGGCGCGGAAAGCCGGAAAGCGAAAGTTTTCGACTTGAAAGAGAAATAATAAACAAATAAATAATTCAAATTCCAATTCAATTCCAAACAAACTCTTTTTCGCTTCTTTTCCGCTCGCCGCCGCCGCATGCAGCAGCGGCCGCCGCAGGCGTCGAGACTCTGCGGTGTACAGACACCTCAGTCGTGGCCATTTCAGCTTTTCCACTTTCTTTTTATTTCGTTTTTATTTTCGTTTTTTTGTTTCTTTTCGGATCGCATTTTCAGTTTCTTTCGAAGTTCCGTCGTTGTTTCTCCGTTTTCTCGCCGCCTTGCGCAGATCTGCCTGCGGAATTCAAGAGTGTCCTGTCACGCATGCGCATGCTATTAGTGGATATACTTGCATAAAATGCATCATTAGAAACGTAAAATGCATAATTAAACAATTAAAATGAATTTAAATCGAAACTGTTCTTCTTTTTTGCATTTATTTCCGCAGACTTTCGCAAACAGACGCTCAGATATTCCCGCTGCAGCTGCTGCAGTGTCTAGCCAGCTTGGAAAAACCGGGAAAGGAAGCAAATTCAAATAAAACAGACTCTTTTTTTAAGTGCCAATTCAGCAGCACTCAGAAGAAATGTCAGAATTAAATAAATAAATTAAAAAGATTTGAATTAAATTGAAAAGATTTAAATTAAATTGAAAAGATTTGACTGAATTAGAACTTTGCTGCTTCGCTGCGGCAAAAGATAAAACGAAACGAAGCAGCAGCAGCACAGCAGCAAATCATGAAGCGCAGCAATTGAATTAAATATTATAATTTGAATTAGAAATTCAACAAAAACAAACATCCAAAATGTTCATTTGCTGCTGCTGCTGCTGCTGCTGTTTATGCTGTTGTTGTTGCTGCTGCTGCTGCTGCTGCTGTTGATGCTGTTTTTGTTGCTGCTGCTGCTGCTGTTGATGCTGAAAAGGGAAAAATTAATTTAATGAAATAATTGTTTTGTTAATTTGTTTAAAACAAACTAATTAATTAATTGCTTAATTAATTCGTCCAAATTAAATAAATGAATGAACTGTTTTATTAATTTGTCCAAAATAAAAAAAGAATTATTTTTAATGCAATTTATTAAGCTGAATAAATGAATTAATTCTCCAGTCAATTTGTTGTAAATAAATAAATGAATTAGCTGGCTAATTAGTTTGTTTGAATTGAATGGTTGAATTAATTAATAAATTAATCTTTTTAAATTTAATTAATTAATTTAATTAATTAATTTAATTAATTAATTTGCAAATTAATTTTTAAGAAGAAATTCTTAACTTCAAAATCAGCAGCAAAAGCTTAGCGGGGGCCTTCGCGAATTAAAAAAAGACCAAAAACAGAATAATAGTAAATAAATAAATATATAAATATATAAATATATAAATATATAAATATATAAATAGTATATAAGAAAATAAACGAATAAATAATAAATAAATACATAAATAAATAAATAAATAAATAAATAAATAAGTAGTTAATTAATTGATTAATTAGGTTGTTGGAAAAGATAAAACACAAAAGGGAAAATTAAGCAGCTGGGGGAAGGCAGCAAAAGAAATAAAACAAATAAGACATCTAGTCAAAAAGTACAATTAAATAAAAGAAATAAAGCATTTTAGTTAAAGTTGCAATTAAATGAAAGAATAAAACATTTATTTAATAAAAAATGGAAACAGAGAGAGAATTAAAAGAAAACAAAACAAATGTTTCAAGATTGCGGCACGAGCAAGCGGAGCAGCTGGAGGGCTTTTCAAAAAATAGAATTTGTTTGAATTAAAAAATAAAAATAGAATTTTTAATTGCATTTAATGCTGCTTATTTAAAAAAGGAAAGAAAAATAATTCTAATGAACTTTAAAACTTCACTTTGAATTTAAATTGAAGAAAAACGAAGCAAAAGCGTACGGTGTACGTACACCCGGCACAAAGCCCTTTCTTTGGAATTGCAATTTTAAAAAAATAAAATTTTAAATGAAATATCATTTAACGAATTTAAACCCTTTTTTGTTGTTTATTGGCATGTATATATACTTGTATTTACTTTATTTATTTATTTATTTATTTATTCATTTATTTATTAATTTATCGATTTATTTATTTATTTATTTGTTTTACAGATTTGCATGCGGCTGTACTTAAATAGTAAAACCCTGCGCATGCAAATTCGTCTGCTGTCTTTTTGCCGCTGCTTTTATTCTCCCTTTCAGCAGCTTCCAAATCTTAATGGTTTGAATTCAATTCTAAACGAAAGTGCTATGCCTCAAACTCTAAACCGTAAACCCTAAACCCTAAACCCTAAACCCTAAACCCTCGAGCCGCTAGGATGAGCCTGCGGTGGATCTAGCTGCTGAAACCCGAGTGGTCTGAATTTAATTTCATTTTTTCAACTAATAATTGAATTTATTTCTAATTTCCAAAGATTTGGAAAATAAAATGAATAAAAATGGACAAATAGTTGGGTTCGAGCGAAGAAGAAAAGAGAAACTCCGCCAACTCTTTCAAATCTAAACGCCGGAACGCCTCCTGATCTTCCTTGAGACTGAAACAATGAATTTAATTTAAATTAAATAATTTAATTTTAATTAAATAATTTAATTTATTTTATTTGACTGAAAAGAACCTTTTTGCAAGAGTTGAACCAAAGAAGGCTAGTGGCTGCTGGGGTGTCTGGACACCGCAGCGGCGGCGAAGGTCACCTGGGGAACGCCGCAGCTCGGAGAAGCGGAAAGCGCCAGAAATGGGGATTTGTTGGAATTTTAAATGAATTAAAATAAATAAATAAATAAAAAAAGATATATTTGATCAGATCTGTTCAAATAAAAGCTTTTATTCCTTTGTTTCCGCGCCCGCCTCCCCTCGCAGCCCGGCGCATGCGTTTCGAGCCAAGTTCGGACTCTCTTCGCAGAGTGTCCGTACACTCCAAAGGCCTTTATTAATTTTCTTTTTTTCATTTTGAAAATTAAATTCAAATTTAACTTCTTAATGGCCTCAGGGGCTGCAGCGAAGCCCAGAGGCGCCTCGAGGCTGCGCGAGCGATCTTCTTGAACTGCAGCTACTAAGAATGGTGAGACATTTTAATCATTTTCGACATTTTAAATCATTTTTAATCATTTTTGAGGCTTTTTGATCATTTTAAAGGACTTTTAATCATTTTTAAGGATTTATTCGATCGTTTTAAGCGATTTAAAAGCAAAAAGGGAGAAAAGATCCAAAAAGAACAACTCCGAGCACCTGGAAAGACTCCCAGAAGCGAAAGCTGAACAAAAAACGAAAAAAGCTCTTCAAAACTTTTCCACAAATTGCCGAAACTTGAACTGCTTTTAATGATTCAATTTATCCCTTCAACTGCCACTTGCTGCAGCAGCCTAAGGAGCAGCAGCAGGGGAATCTGAACTTGGTGAAATATGGCTGATTTTTGCAGCTTTTTGTTTCTTTGAGCATCTCTAAACTTGAATTTAAATCAACTTTAATTAAAAAAGGCTATTAGCTTCTGAAGCAGCAAAAAGCGCCGCTTTTTGCTGCCCTTTTGCTGCACTTCTGCTGCCCGCAGGCGCCCGCCAGCCGCCCGGCGCTGAGCTTTCGCTACCGCCGAATTGCTCCCGTCTCTGCAGCAGAAGAAACTCTTTTCAAGTCAAGTTCGTTTCCCCTCGGAGACAGCCATTTGTACATTACCGGAAAAGATCTTCCACTTCGACTTGGAAGTTTCTTCAACTCCAACGACTCCAGCAGCTCCCGCAGGCACTCCTCGCGCCTCACTCTCGAGGACATCTCCGAAATAGAAGTAAATAAAAGTAAAAACACAAAAAAGTTCTAAGTTCCCAGTTTGGACAGATCTGCAGCCACTTGCAGCGTCTGCTGGGACTTGGAGGAAAAAGCTGCAACACGAAGTAATTCGAATCCAGAAACTTGAAACAAAATAAATTAAAACAAATAAATTGAATTAAATAAATCTTTTTCTTCTTTTGGCAGAAACTCAAGGCTTTAGACCACACCAAGTTTTCCCTCCGCCCGCCCGTGGCGGAAGAGGACTTCGAGGAAAGAAAAGCAAAGGCGGCGGTGAGCAAATAAGTTTGAAATTGAGTTTTAAAACGAAAAAAATCGACAAAAAATGTTTTAATTCTTTTTTAAATGATTTGCAAAACAAATGCCGAAGCTTTTCCAAACTTGCAAACGCGGGTGCGGCGGCTGGGCTGTACGTACACCCCAGAAACGCATGCCAACTGCCCGATCCTCTTTGCGAAGATTCAGAAAAAAAATTCCCGGAAAGCTGCAAAAGAGTTTTATAAGAGTGTTTGCATTCACATTTTGTCGGTTATTTGAACAAAAAGAAATGCATTTTCCGAAAAAGAAGACGGAAAGCGGCGAATCTGAATTTCGTGAAATTCAGCTTTCCGCGGGTTTCAAGTCTTCTTTTCGCATTTATGAGTTCATTTTCTGCGCTTTCAAATTTGAATTGTTTTATTTAATTGTTTTATTTTACATTTAATTCATTTTATTGCACAAATTGAAGGCGAGGAGCCAAAGGCTGCACTTCCCTGCGGCGATCTGCAGGAACTGCGGACGCGGCTGCTGCGGATCGACAGCGAAAAAGACCGAAAAGATATTTTCCAAGACCGAGAAAACGAATTGTTTTCGAATTCCATTTTGAAAAAGGCGCAGGAGGCCGATGACGAAAGCAGAGAAGAAGTCCGAGCCATGAACAGCATCGTCCTCAAGTGCAAGGTCGACTCCATCCGAGACAAGCAAATTCAACTCAAGAGGCAAGCAAACACAAACCCTAAACCCTAAACCCTAAACCCTAAACCCTAAACCGTAAGTCTGGAGGTACGGGCTGAGCCCGAAAGCGTAGGTCTGAAGCCACTTGAATGCTGCACGTTGAAGCACTTTGTTCGAGCATTAGCAGTTAACCCTAAACCCTAGACACTGCAACCTAAACCCTAAACCCTAAACCCTAAACCCTAATGCGTGGTTTCCTTTCATTGCCCTCCAGCGTCTTCTGCCTTTTTAGTTGCGCATGCAAAGCCGCCCTTTTCCGCATTGCTGCTGCTGCAGCTCTGCATGCATTTTAATTATTTTCCATATTTTGCTGCTGCACTGCCACTATTGCTGCTGCTGCGCCCAAACATAATTGTAATAATGGCAGAAATGGAAAAAGAGTGGCCAGTTTTCTTTTTCGCTGCTGCTGCTGCTGCTGCTGCTGCTGCTGCTGCTGCTGCTGTTCGCAGGGAGGCAGCAGCAGAGCGGCAGCGGCTGCAGCAGGAGCTGGAGGAGTCGCTGGAGAAGGAAAGACTGCTGCAGATAAAAGCAGCACAAGAAAGTGAAAAAGAAAAACTTGCAAAAATGCGAATGCAGGAAGAAATGATTAAGCAGCAAATTGCAGAAAGAAGGGTGCGCCTTACTCCCTTTTAAACGCAGCAGCAGCAGCAGCAGCAGCAGCAGGAAGTTAGCAGCAGAAGCAGCAGCAGCAGCAGTTGCAGAAAGTCAGCGGCAGCAGCAGCAGCAGCAGCAGCAGCAGCAGCAAGCATTACGTGCTCAGGGTCGTAGTCTTCTTCTTTTCTTTTGATATTTAGTCTATTCAAAAGGAGGAGCAGCAGCAGCTGCTGCTCCTTCACAGCAGCAGCAGCAGCAGCTGCTGCTGCTCCTTGACAGCAGCAGCAGCAGCTGCTGCTGCTGCGCAGCTTTTGCTGCCATTAGGGGGGGCTGCTGCCGCAAGCTGATGTTGCTGCTGCTGCTTCTCCTTTTGCTTGTGCTGCTGCTGCCTCTACTCCTGCTGCTGTCGCTGCTTTTTCTCCTCCTTCTGCCGCTGCTGCTGCTGCTGCTGCTGCTGCTGCTGCTGCTGCTGCTGCTGCTGCAGCTGAAGCGGGAGCTGGAGCTGGCGCAGCGGGAGAAGGAAAGGGAAATGATTTTGGAGCAAATGGAAGTTTTGAAACTTCAAGAAGAAATTGCGAAAAAACAAAAAGCGGAAAACGCCAAACAACTTCGACTTGAAGTCAACGCCAGAAACCAAATTCTGCTTCAAGGTCAAAGCCAGTTCATTTATTTATTTGTTTATTTTAATTAATTTAATTTAATTAATTTAATTAATTCAATTTAATTTAATTTAATTGATTTAATTTAATTCAATCGATTTAATTTAATCAATTTATTTTAATTTAATTGCTTGCAATTAAATGGATTGGTTGTAATTAGATTGAATTAGCTGCAATTGAGTGGGGCTAAATATGACTAAATGGAACTAATTGGAGTTAAATGAATTAATTTAAATTAAATGAATTAATTGGATTTAAATGAATTACTTGAAATTAAATGAATTAATTTCAATTAAATGAATTAATTGAAATTAAATCAATTACTTGGATTTAAACGAATTACTTGGAGTTAAATGAATTGATTGAAATCAAGTGAATTAATTGTAATTAAATGAATTACTTCAAATTAAATGAATTGATTGAAATTAAATGAAATTAATTGAAATTAAACTGCAAATAATTAAATACAAAAGCCCAACATTTCCCTTTTCCTTGCCGACAATATCCCCCTTTTATTCTTTTTGAAAAGCAGCAGCAGCAAAAAGAACAAAAAGAAAAAAAAGAAATAAAAATGATTTTCGAATTTTGCAAAATGGCGCCGGCCGGCGCGCGAGGTGTACGTACACCTGAGCGGCGGCGCGGCGAGGGGGGGGTGTCGGAGTTCTCTCACTTTTATTTTTTTTGAATTTTTGAATTTTTGAATTTTCCCTTTATTATTATTTTAAATTTAATTTTGTTTTTGGATTCAGAAAAGAAAGAAAGAGAGGCTCTGGAGCTGCTGGAAGAAGCCAAGATCGTGGCTTACCAGCAGGAGAAGATCCGCAGAGAAAAGGAACTTGAAGAAAAAAAAAAAGAAATCGAAAATGCAAAACTAAAAAGTTATAAATTCATTTGCGACAAACGAGACCAACAAATCGACCAACTCGCCAAACTCGACGCTCTGCGCGCCCGCAGGTCAGTTTTCAATAAATTCAAATTTTATTTTTTCTTTTTATTTCTTTTATTCTTTATTCTTTCTTTTATTCTTTTATTCTTACTTTTGTTCTTTTATTCTTTCTCTTGTTCTTTTATTCTTTCTTTTATTCTTTTATTCTTTATTCTTTCTTTTATTCTTCTATTCTTTCTTTTGTTCTTTTATTCTTTCTTTTTATTCTTTTATTCCTTCTTTTGTCCTTTCATTCCTTTATGCCTTCTTTCTTCGTCTTATTCTTTTGTTTTTTCTTTTACTCTTTCTTTTGTTCCTCCCTTTGTACTTCTCTTTTAATCTTCCTTTAATTCTTTCTTTTATTCTTTTTTTTTTCTTTTCCTCCCAATCTTACATTTTTAATCTTTTAATTGAAATAAAATTTCCAAACCCTTTTGCTTCCTGGCCTTCAACTAGCTGCTTCACTCCCAAAGAAAGCCCCCTGGCTGCCTCCCCAGCCGCCCGGGGTTTAGGGTTTAGGGTTTAGGGTTTAGGGTTTAGGGTTTGGAGTGAAGGGCGATGGCGGAGCGGGAAAGGGCGGAGAGGGCGAAGGAAGAAGCAGCAGCAGCAAAGCAGCGGGAGATGAACGAAGCTCTTGCTGCAGTGCGGAAGCAGCAGCAGCAGCAGAAGCTGCTGCAGCTTGCTGCTGCTGCAGTGAGCGAGAAGCAAGAGTACGAACGAGTTGCTGCAGCGCAGCAGCAGCTAGCGCTAGCTGAGCTAGCCAAGCAGCAAGCAGCAAAACAAAAACGCATGCAACACATGCAAGAGTTGAAGAAACAAATTCAAGAAAGACTTTCGCAAATCGAAAAAATCAAAAAGACCCAAATGCAGGAAGCCGAGGAACTCCGCAGGGCCGAAGAAGAAAACCAAAGAGCCATCGAAAGAGCCAGGGCAAGGCCACCAAACCCTAAACCCTAAACCCTAAACCCTAAACCCTAAACCCTAAACCCTAAACCCCAATCTCTTGACTCGAGATCCAGGTCCCCCAGCTCTCAAAGGAAAGCCCTGTATCTCTAAACCCTAAACCCTCGGAGGCCAAACCCTAGAGCAGGGTTTAAGGCTCTGCTTGTACACCCGTAGCCTTAGGCCCCGCCAAACCCTAAACCCTAAACCCTAAACCCTAAACCCTCGAGTTGTGGAGCTGGTTCGCAGGAGAGAAAACTGGCCGAGCTGGAAAAGCTGAACAACGCCGAAAAGTACATTGCTCAGCTCCGCAGGGTTCGCGCAAAGTGAAAAACGCATGCATGCATGCATGCATGCATGCATGCAAGCGTGCATGCATGCAAGCATGCATGCATGCAGAAAGGCCATGCATGCATGCACGCATGCGTGCATGTATGCATGCAGCAAGGCCCGGCGGCCCAGTGGTCAGGTGACCAGTGGTCCACTGCATGCATGCACGCCTGCATGCAGCTGGGCCTGCCTGTGTGGGGCGGCGGCTTTGAATTGGTTTGGGCGGCGCTGCAAACGCAGCAGTTGGGGCCCTCGAACGAATCGAAACTAAAGCGCAAATTGCATGCATGCATGCGTGCATGCATGCATGCATGCATGCACGCATGCATGCAAAAACAACTCTAGTGGCAAAACTGACGCTTGTCTCCAGGGTCCCTCACGCCTGCACACAGCACACCAAACACCCACGCGCAACTCTCGCATGCATGCATGCATGCATGCATGCATGCATGCATGCATGCATGGCAGTTGTATGCATGCATGCACGGATGCACGCAGCTGCGCTTGCATGCAAACAGACACGCATGCATGCATGCATGACAACTTGAATGACAGAAAAATTCAAAAGGGGAAATGCAGAAAGTGAAAGGGGCATTTGGCGACGGCTGCAGGCCCAAAGGAACCTTTGGTGGTGTACATACACTTGAAAGGCTCAACGGAAATTTTGCATGCATGCAAATGCGGCAAACGGCGTTTGCGCGTTTTCTCGCGAATTCACTGATTTAATGCATTCACAAGTGGATTTAGAATTGCATTTGGAGCTTTTTGAGTCCAAAAAGAAACAAAATCGGCGAAAAAGTCGGCTTTCGCGGGGTGTACGTACAGCGCGGGGTGTACGTACACCGCGGGGTGTACGTACAGCGCGGGGTGTACAGGCAGCTCACCGTACGGGTTGGCGGCGGAGAATTTGTGGCCGCTGGCGTTGCATTTATTTTTCTTTTTGTCTGTTGGTGTTCTTCCTTTTGCTTTTAAATTTAAATCCACTTTTGGAGGCACAGAAAAGCCAAAGGCGCGAGCCACTCGCTGCAAGTCCAAGTTGTACACATTGAAGATGTCTTTGAGCCCGTGGGAGGCGTAGGCCTGCGTTAGCAGCAGCAGCAGCAGCAGCAGCAGCAGCAGCAGCAGCAGCAGCAGCAGCAGCAGCAAAAAGAGTTTAATTTTATTTCTTTTTTCTTTTTTATTTCCACTTTTGTTGCTTCGCTTTATTCAATTCACTCCTTTGCTTCAATTCATCTTTTCCGTCGCTCTTTTGCCTCCAAGTGCCGCTCTTTGGCTCCATTGCGAAGCAACTTGTTCAATTCACCAATTCTCATTTAATTAATTAATTAATTAATTAATTAATTAATTAATTAATTGATTAATTAATTAATTAATTTATTTATCTTTTATTTGTTTGCAAGTTTATTATTTGTTCATTTATTTGTCTGCGGAAGGGAAAGGACCCAGCAACTCTTGTTCAAACAGCAGCAAAAACACGCATGCAGAACGAAGCAGCAGCAGCAGCAGCAGCAGCAGCAGCAGCAGCAGCAGCAGCAGCAGCAGCAGCAGCAGCAGCAGCTAGCAGCAGCAACAACGGGACACCCGAGGAGCTGCGACTAAAACGAAGTTATTTTAACTTAAAGCAAATTAAACCAAAATTAATTGAATTGAACTAAACTGAATTTCTTTAAAATGAATTAAATATAATTACTGGAGTGAATCAAATTCGCTGCTCTTCCTAAACCCTAAACCCTCGTAAACCCTAAAAGCCCTTCCAAACCTCCGTAAACCCTCATGAGCCGTAGTAAACCCTCACAAGCCCTCCTAAACCCTGGAAAACCCTACAAACCCTCGTAAACCCTCACAAGCCCTCATAAACCCTCGTAAACCCTAATAAACCTCCCCAAACCCTCGTAAAGCCTCGTAAACCCTAATAAACCTCCCCAAACCCTCGTAAAGCCTCGTAAACCCTAATAAACCCCCCAAACCCCCGTAAAGCCTCGTAAACCCTAATAAACCTCCCCAAACCCTCGTAAACCCTAATAAACCTTCCGAAAGCCTCGTAAACCCTAATAAACCTCCCCACAGCCTCCTAAACCCTAATAAACCTCCCCAAAGCCTCGTAAAGCCTCGTAAACCCTAATAAACCCCCCAAACCCTCGTAAAGCCCCATAAACCCTAGTAAACCCCCAAAACCCCCGTAAAGCCTCCTAAACCCTAATAAACCTCCCCAAAGCCTCGTAAAGCCTCGTAAACCCTAATAAACCCCCCAAACCCTCGTAAAGCCTCGCAAACCCTAATAAACCTCCCCAAACCCTCGTAGACCCTAATAAACCTCCCGAAGTCCTCGCAAACCCTAAAAAACCTCCCCACAGCCTCGCAAACCCTAATAAACCTCCCCAAACCCTCGTAAACCCTAATAAACCTCCCGAAGTCCTCGCAAACCCTAATAGACCTCCCGAAGTCCTCGCAAACCCTAATAAACCCCCGAATTCCCGCAAGGGGACTCACGTGCAAGTAAGACCTGTAGGCGTCTCTGGAGGACTTGTGGAGGTAGTAGTTTTTTTCGATGAGTCTTTCGAGCTGAGTCTGGACATTGGCGAGCTTGGAAGCCGGAAAAGAATATTCATTTAATGGAACTCCAGCTTTTTTCAAATATCGCAAAAAACCCAACTCTTCCGGCATCAAAAACATTAATGCTTTGCCTCTGCCGCCGGCGCCCCGCGCCGTGCGGCCCACGCGGTGTATGTACTCCCGCGGGTCGTCCGGCGGGTCCACTTGCACGATCCAGTCCACCTGCGACGCCCAAACTCCAAACCCTAAACCCTAAACCCTAAACCCTAAACCCTAAACCCTAAACCCTAAACCCTAGCCCTCACGCTGCACGGCGTGCGCGGAGCCGCCAAACGCTCTCCAGCTCGCGCGAACGAGCGAGGCCCGACCGCCGCGCTCCGGCCCCAAACCCCAAACCCTAAACCCTAAACCCTAAACCCTAAACCCTAGCCGTGGCGCTCGTGCGGCCCACTTTGGGGATGTCGAGGCCTCTGGCCGCGACGTCGGTGCAGAGCAAAATTCCCTTCTGCAGCAAACGCGCAAACGGCAGCAGCGCTGGGGTGTACGTACACCCCAGGAGCCGCAGCTTCGGCAGCCGCAGCAAACCCGAAGCAACAGCAGCAAAGCGGAAGCAACAGCAGCAAACCGGAAGCAACAGCAGCAAAGCGGAAGCAACAGCAGCAAAGCGGAAGCAGCAGCAGCAAACCGGAAGCAGCAGCAGCAAACCGGAAGCAGCAGCAGCAAACCGGAAGCAGCAGCAGCAAACCGGAAGCAACAGCAGCAAACCGGAAGCAACAGCAGCAAACCGGAAGCAACAGCAGCAAAGCGGAAGCAACAGCAGCAAACCGGAAGCAACAGCAGCAAAGCGGAAGCAGCAGCAGCAAACCGGAAGCAACTGCAGCAGCAGCAGCAGCAGCAGCAGCAGCAGCAGCAGCAGCAGGAAGGCACCTGTGCCTCGCAGAACTCGTAGTAAGTGGCCATTCTGTTGGCTTGTTTTTTTTTTCCGTGGATGCAAGAAGTGGGAAGGTCGATGTAGTTGAAGAGTTCGTCGTGGAAACGCACTGACATGCAACTGCTGAAGAAAACCATCACTTTCTTGTCCCGATTCTTTTTCAAAAAAGTAAACAACAACAAAAAGCGCTGCTCCGCAGGACAAATGACGAAGCCTTGCTGCAGTCCGGCCACGGTGGCCACGGCGTGCTGGACCTGCGGTGTACGTACACCGCAGACAGGACAGACTCGTCAAGTCCGGAACAGTTCCATTTGAATGGACTTTTCTCTTCGAATTAGTTCCTTTTTAACCCATTTAATTTCATTTATTTATTTATTTTATTATTATTTATTTATTTGGCAAAAGAAAGGCAAATTGCGCTGAAGTCCGGGACAGTTCCATTTGAATCGACTTCCCCTTTGATCCATTTAACTTCATTTAACTTATTTACTTTATTATTATTAATTTATTTTATTATTATTTATTTATTTTATTATTATTTATTTATTTGGCAAAAGAAACAAATTTTGTTTGAGTGCCGCGCGGACTTGCACGAGGACGGGTTTGTGGAGGGAAAGCCGCGCCAAGTCCGCGACTTTGGCCGTTTGCGTCGCGGAAAACAAACAAGTTTGTCTTTTTTTCGGAAGTAATTTCAAAATGGAATTCATTTCCTCTTCAAATCCAATTTCCAAAATTCTGTCCGCCTCGTCGATCACCAGCGACAACAAATTCTTGTACACGAAACCCTGCGAAACGCGCAGTGTACGTACACCCCACGCTCACCCAAATACCCCCACCCTCTTGAGGTGTACGTACACCCCAGAAAAACCCGCACCCTCTTCGGGTGTACGTACACCCCAGAAAAACCCCCACCCTCTTCGGGTGTACGTACACCGCAGAAAAGCGCACACCCACTCGGGGTGTACATACACCCCGCAGAAAAGCGCTCATTCTCTTGGGGTGTACGTACACCGCAGAAAAGCGCTCATTCTCTTGGGGTGTACGTACACCGCAGGAAAGCGCGCACCAACTTGGGGTGTACGTACACCGCGGGAAAGCGCTCACCCACTCGGGGTGTACGTACACCGCAGAAAAGCGCTCACTCTCTTGGGGTGTACGTACACCGCGAGAAAGCGCTCACCCGGGTGTTTTGCAAGTGGTCGAGGAGGCGGCCTGGAGTGGCGACCAGAAGATTAATTCCTTTGTTGAGTTTGTCGACTTCGCTGCGGCGGTTGGCGCCGCCGATGACCAGCCCGAGCGTTTGGGGCAAAAACTTGGCCACTTCTGCTGCCACTTCGAAAATTTGCAAAGACAATTCTCGAGTTGGAGAAATTACCAAAACTCCAGTTCCATTTCGCGGAAGGAACTTCACTTGGTACAGCAGCTCCAGCGCGGGAACCAGAAACGCCAGCGTCTTCCCCGACCCTGCAGCAGCAGCAGCAGCAGCAGCAGCAGCAGCAGCAGCAGCAGCAGCAGCGGGGAAGGGCGCGGCAGGAGTGATGCTCCGGGCACGACTGCGCGACGGGACGGCGAACGACGCAGCAGCAGCTAGTGCAGCTAGTGCAGCAGCAGCAGCTAGTGCAGCAGCAGCAGCAGCTAGTGCAGCAGCAGCAGCTAGTGCAGCAGCAGCAGCAGCAGCAGCAGCACCTGTTTTGGCTGCGCCGAGGACATCTTTGCCCTCGAGGAGCCTGGGAATGGACTTGGCCTGAATTTCTGTGAGTTTTTCCATTTTCATTTCCTTGAGGGCTTTCTTCACTGGCTCGCAAATGTCCAAACTTTCAAATAAAACTTCTGAAAAGAATGCTCCCGAAGGACCTGCAAACGCATGCATGCAGCCTCAGGTGTACGTACACCCCAACTCCCGCAGTCCATACACCGAAGCTCAGTTACCTGCAGGCGCGCTCGAGTCCGAAGAGGACGCCTCGCCAGCAGCAGCAGCAGCACTTTCTGCTGCTGCTGCTGCTGAGTTCCCGTCAGCAGCAGCTGCTGCTGGCGCTGCTTCCGCCTGCTGCTGCTGCTGCTGCTGCTGCTGCGGCTTCTCGTCGGCGGAGCTGCTGGCAGCAGCAGAGTCGTCTTCTGCTTGCGGGCGGGGGTTGGGCTCTTTGCGTTTCTTTTTTGCGGCACTTTCGGCATTTTCGGGCTCGCTGCGAAGCCGCTTCCGAGCTTTGTCCTTAGACCCCTTCATCTTGAATTCAGAAGCTGCTGCTGCTGCTGCTGTTGCTGCTGCTGCTGCTGCTGGTGAGAAGCAAACGAAGGGAACTCCTTCTCCAGCTCAAGCTTTCCAGTTTTGCAAAAGTTGAAAATAACGCCATCAACTGCTCGGAGCCGACGAACAGCTGGGCCTGGTCGCGGAAACCAGACTCGAGAGTCGGCTTGTGCAGAACTGGAAATCGGAATTCAAGAACTCGCGATCTGCAGGGAAGGAAGCGCGGAAAAGGCGAACAAGGGCCCCCAACGGAAAGCAAAACAATATTAATGTCCGAAATGAAATATATAAAGCCGAAATTTCCAGAAATTTCGCCAATTGAAGGGAGAAGGAGTGCAGCGGAAGGCACACTAAGGCGCAGCGCCTGCTGCTGGGGTGTATCGGCAGCTGCTCAGCGCGGCTCCCGCAGCTGCTAAGCCTCTCAACCGCGTCACTTTAAAGAATGTTTCAGTTTAAAAGGGAAATTGAATTCAAATAACCGCAGCAAAGCACTTAATGGCGCCGGCGCCCCACAAGCCTTGCCGGCGCAAGGGGCCCCTGGCTTCCGGGCTCCGCGGAAACTCGCCGATCCTCCCAGATATCTCCCTCGAAACCGGCGAATTAAACGGTAGGCACATTTAAAAACAAAATTGCATTCTTAATGGTCCATTTAGATCCCGAAGAACCGCTTTTTTCCCGGCTTTCCACCAGCCCCGCTCAGCAGCTGCACTGAACATTCAAATTCAACTCAGCGCATGCATGCGGGCGAGCTGGGGCTGCACGTCGCAAGCAGCAGGGGCGCATTGGCGCGTCAAATAAGTTGCCTCTTTTGCCTTTATTTTTTTGTGTCTGTCGAGAGGAATTGTTGTTGCTTTGCTGCTGCTGCTGCTGCTGCTGCTGCAGCTGCTGCGGCTCTTCTTCCGCTGATCTCCCGCCTGCAGCCAACAACGCCAGGGGCCCCCCTTTTCCCTGCAGGCTATTCGCCTCTGCTGCTGCTGAGCAGCAGCAAAGCAAGCCTCATTTGCTTTTTGCTGCTGCGCTGCAGCTCCAATTCAGAAGCAGCTGCGGGGGCCCCCGGCCTCCAGGCGCGCTGCAGCAGCAGCCGGGGCTGCCAGGGGGCCCCTGGCAGCTGCCCCATGGCACCCAGCACGGGGGCCCCCTCGGGGGGCCCCCCAGGAGAGGCGAGTGCCCCTAACAGCGTTCCAGCCGTTGCTGCTGAAGCAGCAGACCAAAAGCAGCAAGCAGCAGCAGCAGCAGCAGCAGCAGCAGCGCAGCCACATGCAGGGGCTGCTGCTCTAAATGGCAGCGCCACACAGGCGACTGAAGGAACTGCTGCTTCTACGCCGCCGCTAGCAGCAGCTTCCTCCACTGCAGCAGGTGCAGCAGCAGCAGAGCCAGCAGCAACAGCACCGGAGGCAGCAGCAGCAGCACCAGAGGGAGCAGCAGCAGCATCAGAGGCAGCAGCAGCAGCAGCACCGGAGGCAGCAGCAGCAGCTCCGGAGGCGGCAGCGGCGCACGGCGCTTTGCCCGCAGCAGAAGCTGCAGCATTTCCGGAAGCAGTAGCAGCAGCAGCAGCAGCAGCAGCACCGGCAGCAGCAGCACCGGCAGCAGCAGGAGCACCACAGGAGCAAGGCGCAGCAGCAGCAGCGCCTGCTGCTTCTGCTGCTTCCGACTCTGTAGCTGCTGCATCTCAATCAGCAGCACTTCTGCCCCCGTCAGCAGCAGCAGCAGCAGCGCCTGGCGCAGCAGCAGACCCTACAGCAGCAGCAGCAGCACCTGCAGCAGCAGCACCAGCAGCAGCAGCACCTGCAGCAGCTTCCCTCTCAGGCTCAGCACCCGCGGCAGCAGCAGACCCTGCGGGACCATCCCCCTCGCCATCAACAGCAGCCCCAGCCCCAGCAGCAGCAGCAGCAGCAGCCCCAGCAGCAGCAGCAGCAGCAGCAGCAGCAGCAGCAGCTGGTTTGCCTGCGTTATCGTCTGCAGTGCACGGGTGGGGCTGCGCGTCTGGGGAACTTTATTTGTCGGATTTTGAAAAGACACAAATTGAAAATTATTTTCTTTCTTTGGGGGCCCCCCCGGGGGGCCCCTGGCGGCTGATTTCAGTACCCGATTGGGGCCCCCGGGGAGACCCGAAGGGTAAGAAAAGCAGCAGCTTCCGGCGGTCCCAGGGGGCCCCTGGGGGCCCCCCCGGGGGCCTCGCGCTGCAGTACCCTGCTGCGCCGGGTCCTGCTGCAGCAGCAGCAGCAGCAGCTGCTGAGGGCGCGCGGCGCTCCTCGGTGGCGAGCTGCAGCAGCAGCAGCAGCAGCAGCAGCAGCAGCAGCAGCAGCAGCAGCAGCAGCAGTTCTTCCGCAGTGCCCGCGGAGCTTCCGAAGACGCGTTCCTCGCGGCTGCGTTCCTTGCAGGGGCCCCTGGAGAGCGGGGCCCCCGGGGGCCCCCCTATAGTCCCCTGTTTGCCAGGGGCCCCCCCGGGGGGCCCCCCGTGTCCCCCCGGGGTGCCCCCGGGGCCCCCCGGGGGCCCCCCGGGGGCCCCCGGGGGCCCCCCGGGGCCCCCCGGGGACCACTGGGCCCTCCGCATGCAGCGGATTCTGGTGGAGCTCTGCAAACAGCCCGTTTGTCTGCCCTTTTTGCCAAAAGTGTCTCCAAAAGACGCGCATTATGGAGAACTGGCCAGAAAGGTCTACCCAGCAGTGCCCCTGAGTCTGGAGACTGTGCTGCAGCGGCTGCAGCAGGGCCGCTACCGCAGCAGCGCGGAAGTCTTCAACGAAGTCTACAGCGTCTTTCTCTGCGCCTTTCGCTTTTACCAGCCCGGCCACCAGTACTGGATGATGGCCCACGAGGCGGCCTTGGCTTTCGGGGCTTTGGCTGCAGCAGAGCCGCTTGCTGCGGTCTTCCAGCAGCAGCAGCAGCAGCAGCAGCAGCAGCAGCAGCAGCAGCAGGGCGATGGGGCGCAGTGGCCGCTCGCGCCGCACGCCGCAGACACGCAGGACAACCGCAAACTCAGGGAAACGGCAGACGGTGCGAGACCGCAGCCGACGCCCTGCTGCTGCTGCTGCTGCTGCTGCTGCTGCTGCTGCAGCGGGTGCTGCTGCTGCAGCAGCAGCGGGGATTTGCGGCTGGCTAGGTCGAGCGGCGTGCTCCGGGGGTTGTGTGTGTGTGCTGCTGTGCTGCAGGCCGCGGGAAAACCAGGGCCGCAAAGGCAACACCAGCAGCAGCAGCAGCAGCAGCAGCAGCAGCAGCAGCAGCAGATGCGCCCGTGTCTGTGGAGGAGCGCCAGGCCTTTCAGGAGCTGCTGGCCCAAATGAACATGGACGCCCACTTCCAAGTGCGTCCCCAACTTGTTCATTTAGTCGCGATTTAGGGTTTAGGGTTTAGGGTTTAGGGTTTAGGGTTTAGGGTTTAGGGTTTAGGGTTTGGGGTTTGGGGTTTGGGGTTTGCGAGCTGCAGCTGTACAACACCTTCAAGGACAGGGCCAAATGGATTTCCTTCGACACGGGAGAAGTGGAACTCGATGATGGCGCCACGCTGCCTTTCGTCTTCAGGTGCTGCTGCTGCTGCTGCTGCTGCTGCTGCTGCTGCTGCTGCTGCTGCTGCTGCTGCTGC